TGTTGCATATCCATGAACTTAAATTTACCTAATATCTACTTAAGGGCTATAAAGCAAATGTACTTGATGCAATCAGATAATTCTCCAAGACTCAGTACCAGTTTCATAGTGAACAATATTAAGAATAAAGGGTAACTTCAAAGAAGCTAAGAATAAAAAAAGTAAAAATTGTGTGTGGTGGTCTGAATTATATGCTGGAATTTACATCCAGCATTTAAAGGGCCTACATAATAGAATCATTTTAAAGAGGTATAATGATAACTTCTACTTTTTTAAGATGCAGATGTTCTTTTCTTATCCCTCCTAGTATCTACAGTTAACAACCACTCAATATTGTATATAAAACATAAGATAGCTCTGGAAGAATGAAAGAATACAAACTGGCTAGGGTTCTTGGGAGCTAGAGGTGAGCTCCCTGGGTTTTCTTTGTGTTTCGGATATTCTAGATTGAGTTATTAAGAATGCCAACAGGTGCAGGGAAGCAGGGTGGCAATAAGAACCTATTTTCTTTAGCCAAAGGACCAGGAAAAGGGCTGCTTAGCAAGACAGAAAACTTCTAAAATGTGACCACTTTGCTCCAGCCAGATACACACAGAAAACCCTTCCATAAAGGCTCAGGGTACAACCTGTCCTTCAATCTTCACTTAGCTATAATAAGGCACCCCTGCCTCTCACTGCTAGGGTGGTATCAGAGGAAGCCTAATACAGAACCAGGACCACCATATAATGATAACAAGGCCACAATTCTTTCTTCCCTTCCTTCCTCTACGCATATACCTGTTTCACACATGAAACATTAAAAAATATAAAGCGTTGGCAAATAAAAAATAGGATGTAAAGAAAACCCAAAGGAAATTTTAGAACTGAAAAATGCAATAACAAAAATAAACTCAATAGATGGGTTCAACAATAGAATGGAGGGAACAGAGAAAAGATAAGTGAACTTGAAGATACTACAATGAAAATCACCCAGTATAAATAACAGAGGAAACAGGGGTGGCTGTAGGGACAGGGCTTCAACAAAAAATCTAACATTTTTATCATCAGATTCTTAGAGAGGTTGGGCTACAAAAGTATTTGAAGAAATGATGGCTGAAAACTTCTGAATTTGGCAAAAGACCTAAACCTGGGAATTTAAGAAGCTGAGTCAAATTCTAAACAGGAAACCCTCCCCAAAAAACTCACACTCAGACACAGTATAGTCAGACTTCCATAAACTAAAGACCAAGAGAAAGGCTCTTAAAAGGAGAGAGAGAGACAGAGGATGCTTGTTAGGGGATAAGCAACACAAATGAAAATGACAGGGAGTTTCTTATCAGAAAAGTTTGAGGACAGAAAGAAGTTACATGGCATTATTCAAGTGGGGAAAGCAAAGAATTGTCAACCCAAATTCTCTACACATTGCAAATTGTATTCAGTAATGAACAGGAAATCAACACATTCTCATATGAAGGAAACTTGAGAATTTTTCACCAGCAGACCTACCCTAAAAGAATGGCTAAGGAAGTTCTTTGTCTTTACAATCTTTGCAATTTACTGTGAATCTATAATTATATAAAATGAAAAAGTTCTTTCTAAAATGTAGAGAAAAAGAATGAATATAAATGACTTAACATTGAGAATAATGGTCTGACTATACTTATAATAATTTGTAAGAAAAGTGGATAAAATTTAATGGAATAAAAGCATAAAGTACTTGTAACCCATTAGTGGAGTTCATGGGGTAGAGAAATGAGAACCATGATAAGGTCTTGAATAAGCAAGTGTTCTGGGAACAGACACCTACCTGGTGGTTACATGCAGGATGAATTGATTGGGAGAAAAATTGGTCTCTGTTAGCGTAACTGTCATATGATCTGATGATATGCTAGTGGTGATACATAATTTTTTTAAATCAAAGAGTGAATTCAGAAAATTTGAATGTTTTCAAACACTGAGCTGTCCTGGTCTTAGCACTATATATTGTTATGCTAATGTCTTAGTTCATCAGGCTGCTATAACAAAATACCTTGGGTAATTTGTAATCAATGGAAATTTATTTCTCACAGTTCTGGAGGCTAGGAAGTCTAAGATTGTGGTGCCAGCAGATGCAGGGTCTGGTGAGGGCTTACTTTCTCCTTCAAAGAAGGCATCTTCTTACTGCATCTTCATATGTGAAAAAAGAGGGAACCTCTTTTATAAGGGCACTAATTCCATTCATAAGGGCAGAGCCCTTGTCACTTAATCACCTCCCAGAATGGTGATACTGTCATGCTGGGGGGGGGGGGTCGTTGACATTTAGTCCACAGCGGATGGCAAGGCCAATAGAGAAAGAAGAGTCTATACCCAAGTATCCTTGAATAGTCTGCATTCAGTTTTTTCTTAGCAGAAAACCTGTATTCTTTTTAATATATAAACATTATAAATTCTGGTTTTATACTCTACAAATGGCATATTCCTACCATAGGAAATAGATGTAATTAAAGGTAAGAAAGCCCATAATTTAAAATCCTTAATAGAAATTCCAGGTTGGTCATTTAAAATTTTTAAATCTACTTTAGACAAAACAATATTCTATAGTTTACTTTCTGAATGATAATATCCTAGAGTTAAATTGCTTTTAAAGTTAAGAATTGTTTTATGGCCAGACGCAGTGGCTCATGCCTGTAATGCTAGCACTCTGGGAGGCCGAGGCAGGCGGATTGCTCGTGGTCAGGAGTTCTTAACCAGCCTGAGCAAGAGCGAGACCCCGTCTTACTATAAATAGAAAGAAATTAATTGGACAACTAATATATATATATAGAGAGAAAATTAGTCAGGCTTGGTGGCACATGCGTGTAGTTCCAGCCACTCGGGAGGCTGAGGCAGTAGGATTGCGTGAGCCCAGGAGTTTGAGGTTGCTGTGAGCTAGGCTTCGCCACGGCACTCACTCTAGTCTGGGCAACAAAGTGAGACTCTGTCTCAAAAAAAAAAAAAAGAATTGTTTTATGACATGAATTAATTTCCTTGAGTTATACATAATGGAATTTTCAGTGAATTGACAGTGAGTGAGGCTGCTGTTTATACTGAAATAAATAACTACTCCATAATTATGTAGTTCAGCTACACTTACAGTTAGTTAGAAAGACATACTAATGAGAGTAGAGTCATGGCTTCAATTACCATTTGTGGATCAGTTTTCAGCACTGTTCCATGACATGGCTCTATCTTATCCCTCAAAATATCTGGAAATGTATGGTGCTATTCTTAAGAGTTACTCGGCAAAATGAATGTTGGAATCAATAGAAATCCAGAACCTCTTGAAGTACTTCAGTGATGGTCATTTTTTGCATATAAAGTATAAAATTAGTTTATTAGCCTCTAATATACCAATCCAATAAAATAACTTCATATTTCAAGGTTAGTACTTGCCAGAAAATAGTGAGGCTTCCCTGTGACTCTTAAGTTTCAAATTATATTGTGTGTAGTTCCTACAAGAGACGTGATAAAGAATTTTCTTAATTCACTGAATTGTGTTTAGTTATGTTTCTGACTACTAAACTCAATTTTAGGGATAGGATTCAAACAATTGCTTAGCAATATGCTGTGTTTTTTCCCATTAACTCAAGCACTTTACTTGAATAGACAACGTATATCGAAAATGATTGTGCTAAAATGAGAATAACTACATTAGAGTTTTAAGTAGACATTTCTATGTAAAATTTTCTGTCTAATCTTTGTTACTAGTGTATATTTTGCATCTTAGATTATTCTTATCAAGAAGATTATATCTGAACCTCAAGACATTGATCTCTGTAAAATTTATTAATATCTCAAGAGACAAAATTAAATGATTTATAAACAAAGAAAGATATACACATAGAAGTTAAAAGATCTCACCTCAGGGCAGTTATTTATATATGTATTCATAGAAGAAAAATCTTTGAAAATTTTTAGTAAATATGGTACTTATTCATGTGAAGATAGAACCGGTCCAAGTAACTATAAACTTAGATAATCTATAATACTGGTGTTTTTTCTGACTCTTAACTATTATGCTCTAATTTTTTTAAATATCCATTTCACTTTGAACTATATTCATATCAAGCTTTCAATGAATAAAAACATTTCATTTTTATCTTAAGCTATTAAAGTATAATGATATAGCTTGTCATGTACAGTTGTTGAAAAGCCATGTTATTCCTCTTTGATTTTGAAATTTTCACATGTTTAACACTAATTTTTTTCAAGAATTATATATATAAAATGCACTTAAATGTGAAATAGGGTTCATTCAGTTAATATAGGATAACATCCTGAATATAAACAGGGTACAATTTTGAAAGGTTACGAAAGCTTAGCTGCTATATGTTAAAAAATATCAGAGACTCTACACATATATTCCTTTTCAGTTATAAAAAAAACCCTCTGGATTTCATATTAATTATAATGCACCTGGTTATATCCATTTCAAGGGTAATATATGCAAGCATAGTGGCATTATCAAACAGAAACTTAGAACATCATTTTGTCATTTCTAAGCCAGACAGGGCAAGCTTACTTTTGGTCTGGTTGCCTTGAATAGATACCATCAGTTGCATAGTATATCAAACATATGATGGGTCCTGGTTTTGAAAGGAACATGAGCTATACATTGATCCTGGTCTTAGTGTTCACTAGTTCTTTCCTCTGTTATGTGAGAAGAATGATAGTAAGCTATTACATCATAATTAGTGATACTTTTCTTCCTGTTTTGAAATCATTTAGCAAATTCTGAAATAATCCTTAGAGGATCTAAAGATAACAGATGATTCTTTTTCAGTTTTACATTGAATAGGTTCTCTGCTAAGCTATTAAAATTTAATTTAAATTGGGAACATTGTTATGAATACTAAAACAGTATGCATTTTGAATTGGATCCCCTTAGAAACAACTGCGAAAAAGTTCAGATGACTTTTATCTACTAGTCTGTGATTTAAAAATGCATTGTCATGTATTACTCTTGACCTTTAATATCCTAATTATTCTCTTATTTATTACAGCTTTAGTAGAATTACTTGAAAAATTTGTGCTTCATCTCACGGAAAGCCCTTCTGAATGCTACTTCCCCTCAGTGGAATATACAGGTACATTTAAACATTTTGAAGTTTGAAAAATACTCAATATGCAAATAGGTAATATTTCAAGGAGATGTGTAATTAAATTACAAGTATGCACAGTATTCCCATCATAAAAATATTTCACTTGGTGCTATATATGTTCCAAATATCTTAAATTTCTTCTCCTTGCAAATATATGGGTTTTCTTATAACTCTGGGAGTCATTCTTGAGCTCTTTCACCTATCTATCCACTAAAAGTTGTCTTTCCCTAATACAGTGTCTTTTACTCTTCTGATTTTATTCATTATCTTTTAGTGATCTTATCTGCTCATACTATCTTACCTACCTATCATATATTGATGACTTCAGAATTTATATCTTCTACTCAGTGATCTACTATAAGCTTCATTTTCACATTTCCAGCTATCTAATAGGTAAATGTCACCTGGATGTGCTAGAGAACCCCTAAAACTCACGTTCAACAGGGGAGACGCCTGTCTGAGCCAACCTGACAGGCATACTAGCAGATCCCAAGTAGGCCTAGTCTCAGCTCTGCCTTCCCACCCCCGCCACTGGAATCAGGAAGCTATTTAAAATGTGCAGGAACTTGCTGGGCAGTGCATACTCCTCTGAGCTGAGACTGGGATTTCCTGCCTCTGTCCCACAGAAGACCCCAAGGGAACCCAGTCTTGGCCCCAGCCCCTCCTCATACAGTTAAGGAACTATCCACTCTGTGCAGGAACCTTCTGAGAGATAGGTCCCAACCAACTTGATAGGCACACCAGGCTCCATCCAACAGCACATCCTTAGGGGCCCTGTCTCAGCTACAGCCCCTCCGGTTGCAGTTGAGGAACTTCCTGGCTTGTGCAGGGACCTGCTGGATGATGCACACCTTTCTGAGCCAGTGAAACAGGCCCACCATCCTCCTTCCCACAGCAGATCCTGAAGGGGCTGGATACAGTATCAACTGCAGCTTGTCTCACTGCAGTCAGGGTCTCATCTCACCTGTCTCCATGGGAGACATAACGATCTGGCCACTGGGACAGCCATCTGTATTCAAGTCCCTGGCCAGCATTCTCACACAGTCCCTTTATTCTCCTTGGTTCTTCCCCAGGTCCACTGGGGCCAGAAAGCTGTGTCAACCTTAGAGTCCTGGTAATATTTATGGCAAGCCTGGGCTTAGTCTATCCTCTAGTGCTGAGATAGCTAAAGTGGTCATAGGCTTAGGGAACTCTACACTCAGTCTGCACAGAATCTGTGAAAAGCCCTCTGAAGAAAGACAGGCACAAACAAAGCCAGACTGCATGGACCAAAGTAAACTCCTAATCCCTCAATACACAGTCATCATCACATATCCACAGGCATCAAGAACATTCAGAGAAATATGACCTCGCCAAAAAAATAGAAAGGCTTCATATAAACAACCTAATGGTTCACCTCAAGGAACTAGAAAAGCAACAACAAACCAAACCCAGTATTGGTAGAAAGAAAGAATAAAAACCAAAGTAGAAGTTAACAAAATCAAGACTTAATAAAAAATATAAATGATCAATTAAAATGGAAATGTGTTTGTTTGTTTGTTTTAAAGACAGAGTCTTGCTCTGTTGCCCAGGCTAGAGTGCAGTGGAGTCAGCCTAGTCCATAGCAATCTCACACTCCTGGGCTCAAGCAATCCTCCTGCCTCAGCTTCCCAGTAGCTGGGACTATAGGCATGTGCCACCACACCTGGCTAATTTTTTCTATTTTTAGTAGAGATGGGGTTTCACTCTTGCTCAGGCTGGTCTTGAACTCCTGAGTTCAAGCAATCCTCCTGTCTTAGCCTCCCAGAGTGCTAGGATTATAGGTGTAAGCCACCATGCCCAGCCAAAAATTTGGTTTTTTGAAATGATAAAATAGACAGACCTTTAGCTAGACTAAGAAAAAAAGAGATAAAACCCAAATAAATAAGATCAGAGATGAAAAAGGAAAAATTACAACTGGTAGTACCACAGACATATAAGGGATCATTAGAGATTACTGTGAATAACTATATACAAACTGCTAAACCTGTAATAAATAGATTAATTCCTGAACACATACAGCCTACCGAATTTGAACCATGAAGAAATAGAAAATCTAAAGAGACCAATTACAAATAATGAGATTGAAGCAGTTATAAAAAGTCTCCCATCAAAGAAAAGCCCAGGACCTGATGGATTCATTGCTAAATTTTACCGAGCATTTGTAGAAAAACTAGTACCAGTTCTTCTCAAATTATTTCAGAAAATAGAATAGGGAATACTTCCAAACTCATTCTGTGAGACCAGCATTACCCTAATAACAAAATCAGACAAGTATACAACCAAAAAATAAAACCACAGGTCAATATCTCTGGAATAAAAATGAGCAGTCTCTGCTATGATGCCATTTTAAAAGTTACCACAATAGTTCTGGCTTTCGATATGAATGGGCCCAGTTAAGGCACTAGCAGAGAGTATTTTTAAGAAGGAAAAAAGAGAAAAATTCAATAGGTATACTGAGTATGATATGAATAAAAAGAGAAATAAGAAAGATTTACGCTACAAGAAAAGAAAACTACAAGCCAACATCCCTGATGAACATAGATGCAGAAATCCTCAACAAAATACTAGCAAACTGAACTTAAAAATGCATTTAAGAGATCATTCACCATGATAAAGTGGGATTCATCCCAGGGATGCAAGGATAGTTTAACATATGCAAATCAATAAATGTCATACATCACATCAATAGATTCAAGGACAATCATGAGCCTTTCAATAGATGCTGAAAAAGCATTCAGTAAAATTCAACATCCTTTCATGATAAAAACTCTAGAAAATTTGGCTATAGAAGGATCATATCTCAACATAATGAAGGCCATATGTGAAAAACCCATAGCTGTTATCATACTCAATGGGGAAAAATTTAAAGCCTTTCAATTAACATTTAGAATAAGACAAGGATGCCTCCTTTCACCTCTTTTATTCAACATAGTGTAGAAAGTCCTAGCCAGAGCAGTTAGATAAGAGAAAGCGATAAAGGGCATCCAAATTGGAAAGGGGGAGGTCATAGTATCCTTATTTACAGACATGATCTTATATTTAGACAAGCCTAAAAGCTCCACCACAAAACCATTAGAACTGATAAATGAATTCAGTAAAATTTAAGGTATTACACAAAATCAACACCAAAAAATCAGTATTTATTTATGCCAGGAGTGATCAATCTGAAAAAATTGAAGAGGACACAAAAAAATGGAAAGATATATCATGCTCATGGATTAGAAGAATTAATACTGTTCAAATGACAATACTACCCGAAGCAATTTACAGATTACATGCAATTCCTATTAAAATAACAATGGCATTCTTTACAGAAATAGAAAACAAATCCTAATATTTATATGGAAGCACAAAAGACCATCAAATAGTTACAGCAATCCTGAGTAAAAAGAACAAAGCTAGAGGCTTTATACTACCTGCCTTCATATACTACAGACCCTTAGTAAACAAAACAGCAAGGTACTAGTATAAAAACAGACATATATACCATGGAGCAGAATAGAGAACCAGAATAAATTAATGAATTTATAGCCAACTCATTTTCAACCAAGAACACATGGCACCAAGAACACATACTGAGAAAAGAACAGTCTCTTAAATAAGTGGTGCTGGGAAAACTCATGTGCAGAAGAATGAAACTACATCTCCATATTTTACCATATACAAAAATCAAAATAGATTAAAGACTTAAACTTAAGACCTAAAACTATTAAACTACTATTAGAAACATTTGGTAAACACTAGGTAGTACATTGGTCTGTGCAAGTATTTTTTAGGTAAAACCTTAAAAGCACAAGCAACAAAAGCAAAAATAGATAAATTGGATTAAATCAAGCTAAAAAACTTCTGCGCAGCAAGGAAACAATGAACAAAGTGAAGAGGCAACCTACAGAATAGAAGAAAATATTTACAAACCATTCATCTGACAAGGGATTAATAACCTGGAATATTATGAGAGCTCAGAAAACTCAATAGTAAAAAATTCAAATGGTTCAATTAAAAAATGGATAATAGACTTTTTTTTTCCTAAGGAAAACATACAAATGACTAAGTGGTATATGACAAAATGCCCAACATCACTAATCATCAGAGAAATGCACATCAAAAGCACAATGGGCAATTATCTCACCCCAGTTAAAATGGCTCTTATCAAAAAGATAAGAAATAACAAATGCTAGGGAGAATCTGGACAATGGGGAATGCTCGTACACTATTGGTGGAAATGTAAAATAATATAGTCATTATGGATAATGGTATGGAGGTTTCTCCCCAAAACTAAAAACAGAACTACCATATGATCCAGAAATCTCATTGCTGTATATATATTCAAAAGTATGGAAATCAAGACACTAATGAGATTTCTGCACTCTCATGTTTATTGCAGTACTATTTATTACAGCCACATTATGGAATCTAACCTAAAGCTAAATGTCCATCAGCAGATGAATCGATATATACACAATGGAATATTATTCAACAATAAAAAATGAAATCTTATCATTTGCAGCAACATAGATGGACCTAGTGGTTCTTATTTTAAGTGAAACAAGCCAGGTACAGAAAGATATCACATGTTCTCACTTACATGTGTAAGCCAAAAAGTAGATCTCGGGAAGATAGAAATTAGGATGGTGGTTCCTAGAGGCTGGGAAGGGAAGTGGTGAGTAGCGGGGGTGGGGAATGAAGAAATATGTAGGCTTAGGGATACAAAAATACGATTAGATAGAAGGAATAAGTTTTAGTATATGATAGTACATTAGGAAAATTATAGTTGTTAATGATTTATTGTATATTTCAAAATAGCCTGAAGAATTGTAATGTTCCCAATACATAAAAAAGATAAATGTTAGAGGTGATGGATATCCGAGATACCCTGATTTGAACATTACATTGTATACAGGTATCAAAATATCACATGTACCCCAAAATATGAACAGCTATTATATGTCAATAAAAAATAATAA